GCCATGACTTCATGATGCTGCATCAATGTATGATGAGTCTACATCACAGTGTATTGTCACCACACACTGATGGAAAATCATGAGATGAAAATGCAAAAATGACAGAAGGGGATGTGTTTGGAGGGGACCTACTGTAAGATAAATACTGCAGGTCCTGTCTATCCTATTTCTTTCACCTTTGTCTTTAAACATCTTACATGGAGTTTTTAAAAGGAACACTGACCTGATTTGTTGCAACTTTTTGAGTAATCATTGAATTATCTGGTTATCCTCTTGTACTTTTCTCTATTTCTAACGTTTCTCTTTTGTCATTGGCAGGCTAGAACTCTGGAACTGTGTGCACACAAATTCCACATGTGGCATTACTGGACCATTCCATTGCACTAGAATAATGTCTTCCCATTTACACATGACTTCTGCTTATGCATTACACAATTACCTTTATTTTTGTTTCTTTTATGCATTCTTCTAAAAATGCTAGCTTGTTATTGGCTAATGCTTCAACATACTTGCAGTGCTTACTGATTTACAGGTTATAAAATGGAGCTATTTTTGTAGAGAGAGTTGAGTAAGTCAGTTTTCTACTCATGTTCTTTATTCATGTCAGTTATCTGAGTAAACTCAACTCTTCCTCTGCATGACATGCCACCCTATTTCCAAATATTTTATTAATTTGCTTCACATGCCCTCTTTCCTAGAAAGTGATGCATAAAGTAAAACAAATGGTCCTAAAGTAGATCCTTACTGTTTTACACTCACAAAATACCCTGTCTACAATAAATAAGATTTTTTATTCACTAAATAATCTGACAAAACACACACTTATGTATAATTAATTTGGTAAATGGACCTTTCATAAAAACTCTTTATATAAGCAAAGTACTTTAGTACTTTGTCACCTTTATTCCAAATGAAAATAAATAGTATTCTGAACACTAATTAGGCATTTATTTCACTGTGTTTGATTCCAAGTTTTAAAATTAGTTAACTCAATGTTCTATTATACGTGAATGCTCTTATCTTTGTTTACATGCAAGTATGCAGCTAAAACAGATATTAATTAGTAACTTCTAAGCTAAAAAGCAAGTGACCAATGGAATGTTTGTAAAATAGAGTCATTATTAAATTATTTTTCAAAAGGGCAATTTGACAGTCCTTTAATTTATTCAGTAAAACTTTAAATTGTGAACCTTGGCTTTTATAACAAATATTAAATCTGTCTCTCTCAATATATTGTATGTATCAGTCAATGGAAACTTTAGTCTTCTGCCAATGGGCATGGAATCAATTTATTTTGCAATGAAGAACAATTTTTGAATAATCTAGTTCCATACTTCAATTATATGGATATAGTCCTTGCAATAATAGCAAAACTGCATAGTGACATTGTCCCAAATGCTATTGGACATCACTTTCCGACAGAAGATTTGGGTTTGTCTTCTTCCCTTTCTGTGGTCACATTGTAATGGGCTTTGACTTCTTCAGGTCTCAAAGGCTAGGCAGAGTATTGGAGACCTGTGACAAATTTTCAGGTAGAACCTCAACCCCTCCATCGACATATTTGCATGCAAAGTTGTACAGGCATTTTTCAAACATTGTACAAGACCTAAAACATATACACACACTCGGTGTTGGCATACACACAACTAGAAACCACTATTTGAAAATTTGACTTTCAAAATGGTGAAAAAAAAGTACTGAAACTACACCATACCAACTATTCACCACATGACACAGGATTCTCAACTACTGTATCGTGACTGATCTGGTTTACACAATTATGTAATCTTAATATCCATTAAATTTTTAAAAACTTTTTACATTCCATCTACCACATTACATTATTCATTACGCATGGCCCAATTCTGCTCCAATTTAAATCAGTGGTAAGACTTTTACTGACTATAGGAGCAAGAGCATATACACTTCCAAATTAGCATGGGGCTCCAAACGTTTTTTTAAAATGTGTAAAACATTAGTAAGCCCAAACAAAAATTCGGCTTCTTTTCAAAATCTGTTTATAATGAAAGGATGAAGTCAGTCACAGAGTACATATATTCTTCTCATATCTTTATACTCAATTAAAGCAGCATAGGCAGAATCAATTCCTTTCTTAATATTATTTTAAAATACTGTAGAATTCAACTTCTACCAGTTCTTAAAAACAAATTGCTATTACACCCCAATCCACTTGCAGTCTTGATAGGACTTAACAAATTTGATCCTGTAATTATGGCAGCAAAATTTTTTAAAAAATTAACTATGATGTACTATATAGAGAGAGACTCATACTGCAAAATACAATGCAAACAAACTCAGTTTCCTCCATGGCATCTAGCTAAATATTTCTATTATTTAGATCTAGGCTTACCAACAGTTTGAAAAACCAACTGTCTGTGCTGCCTAGAGTGGCTGTGTGGAACACAGCCAACCAGGGCCCAGCAGGTCAGTATAAGGGTATGTCTACACAATGAAATTAGATCAAATTTATAGAAGTCGTTTTTTTAGAAATCGGTTTTATATATTCAAGTGTGTGTGTCCCCACACAAAATGCTCTAAGTGCATTAAGTGCATTAACTCGGCGGAGTGCTTCCACAGTACCGAGGCAAGCGTCGACTTCCGGAGCGTTGCACTGTGGGTAGCTATCCCACAGTTCCCGCAGTCTCCGCTGCCCATTGGAATTCTGGCTTTGAGATCCCAATGCCTGATGGGGCTAAAACATTGTCATGGGTGGTTCTGGGTACATATCGTCAGGCCCCCATTCCCTCCCTCCCTCCGTGAAAGCAGCAGCAGACAGTCGTTTCGCGCCTTTTTTCTTGAGTTACCTGTGCAGACGCCATACCACGACAAGCATGGAGCCCGCTCAGCTAACCGTCACCGTATGTCTCCTGGGTGGTGGCAGACGTGGTACTGCATTGCTACATCACAGCATCAACCCATTGCCTTGTGGCAGCAGATGGTACAGTACGACTGGTAGCCGCCATCGTCATGTCCGAGGTGCTCCTGGCCATGTCGGCCAGGAGCGCCTGGGCAGACATGGGCGCAGGGACTACATTTGGAGTGACTTGACCAGGTCATTCTCTTTAGTCCTGCAGTCAGTCCTATTGAACCATCTTATGGGGAGCAGGCAGGCGATAAGGATTGCTAGCAGTCCTATTGTACCATCTTCTGCCAGGCAGGCAAGAGATGAGGATGGCTAGCAGTCTTACTGCACCATCTTCTGCCGAGCAGCCATGAGATGTGGATGGCTTGCAGTCCTTCTGCACCGTCTGCTGCCAGCCAAAGATGTAAAAGATAGATGGAGTGGATCAAAACAAAAAATAGACCTGATCTGTTTTGTACTCATTTGCTTTCCGCCCTCCCCCGTCTAGGGGACTCATTCCTCTAGGTCACACTGCAGTCACTCACAGAGAAGGTGCAGCGAGGTAAATCTAGTCACATATCAATCAGAGGCCAGACCAACCTACTTGTTCCAATAAGAACAATTACTTAGGTGCACCATTTCTTATTGGAACCCTCTGCGAAGTCCTGCCTGAAATACTCATTGATGTAAAGCCACCCCCTTTGTTGATTTTAGCTCCCTGAAGCCAATCCTGTAAGCCATGTCATCAGTCGCCCCTCCCTCCGTCAGAGCAACGGCAGACAATCGTTCTGCGCCTTTTTTCTGGCGGACGCCATACCAAGGCAAGCATGGAGGCTGCTCAGCTCACTTTGGCAATTAGGAGCACAGTAAACACCACACGCATTATCCAGCAGTATATGCAGCACCAGAACCTGGCAGAGCGATACTGGGCGAGGAGGCAACGTCAGCGCAGTCACGTGAGCGATCAGGACATGGACACAGATTTCTCTGAAAGCGTGGGCCCTGCCAATGCATGCATCATGGTGCTAATGGGGCAGGTTCATGCTGTGGAACGCCGATTCTGGGCTCGGGAAACAAGCACAGACTGGTGGGACCGCATAGTGCTGCAGGTCTGGGACGATTCCCAGTGGCTGCGAAACTTTCGCATGCGTAAGGGCACTTTCATGGAACTTTGTGACTTGCTTTCCCCTGCCCTGAAGGGCATGAATACTAAGATGAGAGCAGCCCTCACAGTTGAGAAGTGAGTGGTGATAGCCCTGTGGAAGCTTGCAACGCCAGACAGCTACCGGTCAGTTGGGAATCATTTTGGAGTGGGCAAATCTACTGTGGGGGCTGCTGTGATGCAAGTAGCCCACGCAATCAAAGATCTGCTGATATCAAGGGTAGTGACCCTGGGAAATGTGCAGGTCATAGTGAATGGCTTTGCTGCAATGGGATTCCCTAACTGTGGTGGGGCCATAGACGGAACCCATATCCCTATCTTGGCACCGGAGCACCAAGCCGACGAGTACATAAACCGCAAGGGGTACTTTTCGATAGTGCTGCAAGCTCTGGTGGATCACAAGGGATGTTTTACAAACATCAACATGGGATGGCCGGGAAAGGTACATGATGCTCGCATCTTCAGGAACTTTGGTCTGTTTCAAAAGCTGCAGGAAGGGACTTTATTCCCAGACCAGAAAATAACTGTTGGGGATGTTGAAATGCCTATATGTATCCTTGGGGACCCAGCCTACCCCTTAATGCCATGGCTCATGAAGCCGTACACAGTCAGCCTGGACAGTAGTCAGGAGCTGTTCAACTACAGGCTGAGCAAGTGCAGAATGGTGGTAGAATGTGCATTTGGACGTTTAAAGGCGCGCTGGCGCAGTTTACTGACTCGCTTAGACCTCAGCGAAACCAATATTCCCACTGTTATTACTGCTTGCTGTGCGCTCCACAATATCTGTGAGAGTAAGGGGGAGACGTTTATGGCGGGGTGGGAGGTTGAGGCAAATCGCCTGGCCGCTGGATACGCACAGCCAGACACCAGGGCGGTTAGAAGAGCACAGGAGGGCGCGGTACGCATCAGAGAAGCTTTGAAAACCAGTTTCATGACTGGCCAGGCTACGGTGTGAAAGTTCTCTTTGTTTCTCCTTGATGAAACCCCCCGCCCCTTGGTTCACTCTACTTCCCTGTAAGCTAACCACCCTTCCCTCCTCCCTTCGATCACCGCTTGCAGAGGCAATAAAGTCATTGTTGCTTCACATTCATGCATTCTTTATTCATTCATCACACAAATAGGGGGATGACTACCAAGGTAGCCCAGAAGGGGTGGTGGAGGAGGGAAGGAAAATGCCACACAGCACTTTAAAAGTTTACAACTTTAAAATTTATTGAATACCAGCCTTCTGTTTTTGGGGCAATCCTCTGTGGTGGAGTGGCTGGTTGGCCGGAGGCCCCCCCACTGCGTTCTTGGGCGTCTGGGTGTGGAGGCTATGGAACTTGGGGAGGAGGGCGGTTGGTTACACAGGGTCTCTAGTGGCAGTCTGTGCTCCAGCTGCCTTTGCTGCAGCTCAACCATACACTGGAGCATACTGGTTTGATCCTCCAGCAGCCTCAGCATTGAATCCTGCCTCCTCTCATCAAGCTGCCGCCACATTTGAGCTTCAGCCCTGTCTTCAGCCCGCCACCTCTCCTTCCGATCATTTAGTGCTTTCCTGCACTCTGACATTATTTGCCTCCACGCATTCATCTGTGCTCTGTCAGTGTGGGAGGACAGCATGAGCTCGGAGAACATTTCATCATGAGTGCATTTTTTTTTCTTTCTAATCTTCACTAGCCTCTGGGAAGGAGAAGATCCTGTGATCACTGAAACACATGCAGCTGGTCGAGAAAAAAAAAAAGGACAGCGGTATTTAAAAAGAGACATTTTATAAAACAGTGGCTACACTCTTTCAGTAAACAGTAAACAGTAAACCTTGCTGTTAACATTACATACATAGCACATGTGCTTTCGTTACAAGGTCGCATTTTGCCTCCCCCCACTGTGTGGCTACCCCCTCAACCCTCCCCGTGGCTAACAGCGGAGAACATTTCTGTTCAGCCACAGGCAAACAGCCCAGCAGGAACAGGCACCTCTGAGTGTCCCCTGAAGAAAAGCATCCTATTTCAACCAGGTGACCATGAATGATATCTCACTCTCCTGAGAATAACACAGAGAGATAAAGAATGGATGTTGTTTGAACGCCAGCAAACATACACTGCAATGCTTTGTTCTACAATGATTCCCGAGTACGTGTTACTGGCCTGGAGTGGTAAAGTGTCCTACCATGGAGGACGCAATAAGGCTGCCCTCCCCAGAAACCTTTTGCAAAGGCTTTGGGAGTACATCCAGGAGAGCCGCAAATGCCAGGGCACAGTAATCCTTTCACATGCTTGCTTTTAAACCATGTATACTATTTTAAAAGGTACACTCACCGGAGGTCCCTTCTCTGCCTGCCGGGTCCAGGAGGCAGCCTTGGGTGGGTTCGGGGGGTACTGGCTCCAGGTCCAGGGTGAGAAACAGTTCCTGGCTGTCGGGAAAACCAGTTTCTCCGCTTGCTTGCTGTGAGCTATCGACAACCTCATCATCATCATCATCTTCTTCTTCGTCCCCAAAACCTGCTTCCGTGTTGCCTCCATCCCCATTGAAGGAGTCAAACAACATGGCTGGGGTAGTGGTGGCTGAACCCCCTAAAATGGCATGCTTGGGGCTCTGACCCGGAGTGGCCGTTCGCCTCTCTGGTTTTCTGGTAGGCTTGCCTCAGCTCCTTAAGTTTCACGTGGCACTCTTCGTGTCCCTGTTATGGCCTCTGTCCTTCATGCCCTGGGAGATTTTGACAAAGGTTTTGGCATTTCGAAAACTGGAACGGAGTTCTGATAGCACGGATTCCTCTCCCCATACAGCGATCAGATCCCGTACCTCCCATTCAGTCCATGCTGGAGCTCTTTTGCAATTCTGGGACTCCATCATGGTCACCTCTGCTGATGAGCTCTGCATGGTCACCTGCAGCTTGCCACGCTGGCCAAACAGGAAATGAGATTTAAAAGTTCGCGGTTCTTTTCCTGTCTACCTGGCCAGTGCAACTGAGTTGAGAGTGCTGTCCAGAGCGGTCACAGTGGAGCACTCTGGGATAGCTCCCGGAGGCCAATACCGTCAAATTGTGTCCACAGTACCCCAAATTCGACCCGGCAAGGCTGATTTAAGCGCTAATCCACTTGTCAGGGGTGGAGTAAGGAAATCGATTTTAAGAGCCCTTTAAGTCGAAATAAAGGGCTTCATCGTGTGGACGGGTGCAGGTTTACATCGATTTAACGCTGCTAAATTCGACCTAAAGTCCTAGTGTAGACCAGGGCTAAGAAGAGCTGCAGGGCCAGAAATGGAGGAGTGTGGTTGGTATGTGGCTGGCTGAGGGAGCTGCAGGACCTCAGACGAGATAGTGCTGCCAGAAACCAGGGAGAACAAGAAGGAGCCCTGAGCTGGCTGGGGGACTCCATCAGGACAAAGCCTTGAGTAAAGGTGAAGACTGCACCGGGCTGTGGGGAAGTAGCGCAGGGAATTAGTGCAGCGGTGCAACTTAGATAAAGGGACACAGCAGACAGCTGCTATCTACAGCTGTAGCCGGAGTAGTGGGTGGGCCTGGGTTCATTCCTGCCTCCCCCCATTGGCCACTGGAGGGGGAGTGGTCTGGACCCTGAGGCACCCCAGAGAGGGAGCTGAACTGCAGCGACCCAGCTGGAGCCAGAAAGGCCCTAAGAGGATGAAGACATTGTTGCTAAGGAGGGAGCCTTGGGGCACTGCTCTATCCCGGAGCAGGGACAACTTGAGGGAAACGTTACAGAGGGCCCTGAGAGAGACTCCTGCTGGACCTGTACCCCAGAAGAGGTCCTGCTTTGCTTTTAGCTCACGGACAGCCCATATGTGACTCGGCCAGAGGGCTGAGTCACTGAAGAAACACCACAAACAGAGGGAGAAACAAAGAGAGTGCAGACACACGCACTTGGCCAAGGGGCCACTCACACACCATTACACAGGCCCAATGAGTCTAACGGAGTTTAAGAAAATGCAGAATAATATTATTTATATAAAGTATTCAATTCTGAATAGATGTAAGAATTGGTTGACCTTCCTTACACAATACTGAAACCCTATTCATGGAAATTTTTAAAGTTCTCAGAGGGACAGCGAACATAAAATCTAATTAGTTCTGTTTCTAAGCATTCACCTTTTTGAAATGTTACATGTACCAAAACATGCAAGCATAATTCAGTGTATAGTCTTGATTTAAGGATGAACGAAAAAGAGAATAAAATAATTGGAAACTTAAAGTAATGGCAAGAAGGAGGACTATTTTTGCTTCATTACTAACAAAAAGCAACTGGGTTTTTAGTCTTTCCAGAAAAATTTTTCTTTGTTTAATTAAAAAGATGAGACACACTTCAAAATAATCCATATGACCAAAATGTCAACAAAAAGGAGTAGAACATAGAATATGAAATAACCAGGATATGGTGTCATCCTTGCAAGACTAAATCTAGATTTAGACAACTAAATAAGAGCCATATTTTCTTAAATCTGAGCAACTGGAACATCTCATTGGCCTCAGTAGGAATTACTGACTACTCAGTACATATAAAAATCAGTGTTCCCACCTAGCTGCCGGAGCATGAATTTAGGATCTTAACTTGAGATGGTACTGGAAACTCTGCTGCTCAACATACTCATAAATGATCTGGAAAAGGGGGTGAACAGTGAGGTTGCAAAACTACTCAAAATAGTTAAGTCCAAAGCTGACTGAGAAGTATTAAAAAGGGATCTCGCTAAACCAGGTGACTGGGCAACACAATGGCAGATGAAATTCAATGTTGATTAGTGCAAAGTAATTCACTCTAGAAAAAATAATCCCAAATATGCATACAAAATGATGGGGTCTAGATTAGCTGTTACAACTCAAGGAAGAGACCTTGGAGTCATTGTGCATAGTTCTTTGACAACATCTGTTCAATGTGCAGCAGCAGTCAAAACATCTAACAGAATGGTAGGAACCATTAGGAAAGGGATGGATAATTAGAGAAAACATCATAATGCCACTATCCAAATCCACGGTATGCCCATACCTGGAATGCTATGTACAGTTCTAGTCACTCCATCTCACAGTAAACATTAGAATTGGAAGAGGTACAGAGAATGGCCACAAAAATGATTAGAGGTATGGAACAGCTTCTATCTGAGGAGAGATTTATAAGTCTGGAATTGTTCATCTTAGAAAAGAGACAAGTACGGGGGTAGGGTATTATAGAGGTCTATAAAATCATGAATGGTAAGGAGAAAGCGGATAGGGAAGTGTTATTTACTCCTTCATATGATACAAGAACTAGGAGTCAGCAGGTTTAAAACACACAAAAGGAAGTACTTCTTCACACATTGCACAGTCAACATTGGAACTCCTTACCATAGGATATTGTGAAGGCCAAAAGTATAAGTGGGCTCAAAATAGAATTAGATAAGTTCATGGAGCATAGGTCCATTAGTGGCTATTAGCCAAGATAGTCAGAGATGCTACCCCACATTCCTAAAACTCCTACTGCCAGAAGCAGAGAGTGGACAACTCAAAATTGCCCTGTTCTGTTCATTCCCTCCGAAGCACCTGCACTGGCCACTGTCAGAAGACAGGATACAGGGCTAGATGGACCACTGATCTGACCCAGTAAGTCTGGTCTTATATTCTCTAATTTTTTTTTTAAAGAAATCTTTACCTGTGTGCAGGAAAGGCATATCCAAATACAACAGCCAGGCTGGCTATTAAGTGTGTACACTTGTATTTTTTGCCGTCTCCCATTGTATCTTGTAAGAGTCCACATTCAACATTTTCTAAAGTTGTATAAACATTTTCCAGTATAACTCCATTGAACCTTGATTCCCAACAATATTAACCCCTCTTTATGCTGACCCTCATTGGATGCTTTTTAACTAAAAATAACTGATTCTTAAGGACGATATATTAAGAAAGAGTGAAGGTGACTCTTCATTGAACTCTAGCTAATCATTCTAGTTGCCCTTTGCTTACTGTGTTAGATTGCAACTGTTTTGTGATATAGATAAAACCCCATTAGCAACTGAACTCATGTCTCAGGCCACAGGTTGAACAGAAAGATTGGTCCTATTCTCACTATTAAGCCACCTATTTAACTGATTGTCAGGTACCACAGGGTACTGCTTGAGATCAAACTATTATGGAAGCAAGAGACAGCAAGCAGCTCAGATAACCACATACACTATGCTCCATAATAACTGCAATTGTGTCTTTTCTGTTCTTTTACCCTTATTTTTTTTTTTTTGGTCATGTTACGGACCCTACCCTAAAAATCACACAGCAGTCATTATCCCTTTGAGAGAAGAGAAATGGACAAGAATCCATTTCCAGCTATATCTTTGCTGTTTCTTATCCAGCCAGTGGTGTAGCTGTTATGCAGAGTAAGGTATTCCACTCCCCAACCTCACAAGCTGAGCTCCCCGTTTCTGCAGCTACCCCAGTCCTTTCAGCCCAGAAAGGACAGACCAGGACGGGAATGTGTATTTTCTGAACATATGTACTGAGGGCAACCATCAAGTCTCAGTCTGATTCTCTTTTTGCTCTTTACATGCGCCTGTGCTAGTAAATAACTAAATCTCAAGAAAGTGATGATTTGCAGTAATTGTTCTCAAAAGATACACATTACAACAGATCACCAGTGTGGAGTGGGTGTCCCTGAATGTGACTAAGATGAGAACTCACCGTCTTCAATATTCTACAGTCACTGGTTCCAACAATCTGACGCTAGCCAGGCCCTTTCATGGAACACAGGTACATCTTGTGTTCTTACGCTCCATTCCTTTCCACACAGGAAGTGAAATCATTCCTGTACATATACAGAAATTGAACCATACCCATTTTTATTCTTGAATAATAGAATCCTAAACTCTGTGGGGAGGAGAATGGGGAAGTGGCATCACTGATCCATATATCTTTAGAAAACAAATTACAGATGAGTAATTCCCTCTCTAAAGACTGCAGTCACAACACAATCTGATTCTTAAAAGTGAAAAAGCTCCAGAGATGACTCTAAAGTTCCAAATGCAAACCAAAGAGAAGACGATACAGGCATATCAACAATGGGAAGTGAAGACAAGGTCAAAGTACCTTGAACAAATTTTGTTAGGGTTTTGTTTGGTTGGGATTTTAAGTGGAAAGGGCAAGATACCTTCATAAATTAATCTGTTTTTATCTATTTATTATTTATTTTAAAATAGAATAAGATCTCCATATTAAAAACAGTAAGAATCATATAATAATGTCTATCAATCCACCCCACCATATCCCAGTTAAACTTAGCCTACATCCCCAACTGGTGCAGCTCCACCAGCTTCAGTGAGCTCCATCAGTTCACAGCTTCCGAGAATCTGACCCAAACGTAGTGGAAGAGATTGGCAAACAACAACACACTAAACACTTATTTAAAGCCAGAGGCTGGATGTAAGCAACAAGAATGAACACAGTGATTGGAAGTTGACAATTCCATGCGACTGCCTCGCAAATCTTCTAGAGGGAGACAGAGAAGAGGTTTACAGTTATAGCAGAATTCCCTTGTATGGAACAAAGCTCAAAAATCAAGCCAGTCAGACAGCTATTTTGATATGCTTATCTTGGAAAACAAACAGTGGCCAAAAAAAAAAAAAAAAAGACTGGTGGCCTTTTAACAAAACAAAACAAAACTTTGGGGGAATGGCCTATGCAGGCTAGGCAGGGAAGCACAGAAATAACGTTTGCAAGATGATTTACTGATTAAGCCGCAACTGCAACACCACCTTGGAAAATAGTTTATGATGAGCACACAACACCACCTCATCTTTTTTATCATTTATTATAAGGTATGCTAGAGTCAAGCTGTTGAGTTGTGTCAGGTAATCACACAGTCCGGATGCAATCATCCAACTCCATTCCAGAAGGAATTGCTAGATGGCCCAC